CATTTTGAGGTGGGTTTTCATGTCTGCCTTCATCCTTTCTCACATGGCCTGCAGGCGATCTACTATTTGTTCCATTTTTAAACATGAAGAAGTAACAATCCACTGCACTCTTCAGTCCAACAATTCAACCCAAGAGACCAGTCAATCCAATCCCACTTATGACACCAGCTGTCATGTGATTGAGTGTGATTAGAGATTGGATTTCAATTGGTAATTGGATTTATTGGACTATTACAGATCGTAACTATAACTACAGCGCTATCATTAATTCACACTTTCTACAGTTCACTACAGCACGCACTAAGTCTTCTCAGTCTGCTGTGTCTTCACCGGTTGTCACCTGGTAACACTCCCAACACTGCAAATCCCTCAGCGTCCATGTTCCACAGCTTCTGTCCTTGCTGGCTGGCATCTATCTCATAACTAGACAAACTTGGAGTTGCTATGCAATGACTTACAACAATGGGGGCTCATCTGCCTCCCATGACAGACCTGTAGGAAGTTGTCACAGACAGTTGGGGTGACTGTCTACAACAACCTCCTACAGCTCTAACTCTCTACAGCTAACTGCGGAGTCAAGATTCTCTAGACTGACTTCTTGCAATTCCCAAGATATAGCGTCTGCATGGACCCATAGAGAACACTGCTTCCAACACTTCTTCTATTGATGTGTGCATACCTGCTTCTGTGGGAACATGGCATGGACCAAATTGAAAACACTCAGTCATGTGTTATCATGCTGTTCCTTAGCAACAGCTGTCTCTGCTGGCTTCACAATCCTGGGTTTCAGCAGATATGCCAGAATACATTTGTAAGTGTACAATTAATTGGAACTCTGTAAAAAATGGTACTCACAAAACCTGTGAAGGCCAACAATACATTTCCAATTCCCTAGTTCAGGCTGCACCTTATTGAAATTTCAATTGAAGAATGCTACAGAGACTACAAAAACAACAAACTCCGTGATTTTAGTTCGCAAGTGAACTATAACAGCCAAGTGACCGCTGCTTGTCGGCGAAGTTTAGTACCAACTTTAGCGGATAGAGGGTGTCACATGGTCAGCACAACGAATCCCATGGCCGTTAATTTTAATATTTAATGTATAAAGAAAAGAACTTGATCTAGTACAGAAAAAATGACTTGAATTTTAGACTGATGGTCAGAACTTTTCTGATCATTTCAAAATCATTTCTATGTCTACTGACTGCTTTGAAACATCAAGTCAAGGGAGATTATCCAAACGTATGTCTTATTTTGTTTTTATGTGCAGTGTGCTTCATTTTACTGAATTACCTCACATGCATATGTAGCCTCAAAATGTGACAACTGTTTCAGCACAGAACTGTAGTGAGAGGTTTTATTAATTACTATAGTACTATCCCACTCTAAATATATTATTAATTCCGAAATACAAATTAAATATAACAACAAAATTATTGCCAATACTACCAAACTAAATTTCTTGGGCTAGTATTTCACAATACTGTGTCTTGGAAGAGTCACACTGATATGTTGGCTTCCAAATTAAACAAAGCGTGTTATATTGCAAGAGCAATTAGACCTTTCTTATCATTAAATTCCCTAAAGATAATCTATCATGCTTATTTTCATTCAGTTATAACATATGGATTAATTTTCTGCCGAAGTTCTTCCCACAGTATGAATATTTTCAAACTCCAAAAGCAAATGGTTAGAATATTAATGGAAGCAAGACCCAGGGATTCTTGCACGAATTTTCGAAGATTTTAAATTACTACCTCTAGCATCCCAGTACATACTCTCTTTGGCTCTGGTTATGGTTACCAATAAATCACTGTTTATACAAAATTCTGAAATTCACACTCTTAATACCAGGAATAATTTTCAAGTAACGACTCACTTGATGATGTTTCTTAAAAGTCCCGCCTATGCAGGCGTTAATATACATAACCATCTCCCAGCTGATATTAAGGACTTGGCATATGATATTAAAAATTTTAAAAAGCATTAAAAATTATTTGCATGAGCATTCTTTTTATACTGTGGATGAATCATTTATGCATAAAACTAGATAAGTATTTCTGATGGTAATCGTAACATCATTCTATCAATACTTACACTGTTCTACTATTTCTATTTTTTTCCCCACAAAATCTCTTAATGATTGCCTTATTATCATTATTATTGTACTGCCCTGTATTCGGTTTTTTTTCTATATCCAATGGTTGTACCAGTATGGCTCAACATAAATTAATTAAAAAAAATAAGAGAGTAGTTTAAATGCAATCCTTTTGAAGGCTACATATGCAGCAGTTATAGTACCATATAATGGAGGTCATATCTGTTTGACACTTCACATGCTTCAGCCTCAAAACTACTTAATGCATTTCAATCAGTTAGGTACTGGGAGTTTGTACAATGTCAGGGAAATTTAATTTTAGTTCATATCAGCCACATATCACCCCTCGTGCTTTATACAATCTCCAAATCAAATTTACCGATTTTTTAAAAAATATCATTTGTACAGGACATAAAATATTGTAATGTGAATGAATACCCATTGCCAGGCCATAGCTCCATAAACATGTTCCAACATGCAACAACAGAAGGATGTCATCTCTAGGCCACACTCGAAATACATGCACGCAACAACAGGGGAAGCTGTGTTTGCTTTGTCTGCAGTGACAGCACACAACAGTGCATAGCATCACAAGATATGTGTTTTTTGTGAGGTGTCCATGCTGTGTCTTCATAAGTGACAGATTCCAAAGAAGCGGCTGGAGAATAGTGGTAAGCTCGAGTAGTACAGCAAGCAAGCAGTAAGCTTGAGAAGTACATAAGAGTACAAGAAGTCAGCCTGTGATATGAAGACTTTGTGTGTGCTGTAGTACATCGCTATTGAGAATGTGCAATTTAGTGAGATTTTGCTAGTTCCTGTGTTACAAATCTGTGAAGACCAGTGCAGATAGGCTGAATAGATTACTGTGGAGTGCTTTGTAGTGTGAAAATCAGAAATAGTATAATAATCAATTGTAGTTACAACCTGTAGGTGGTTAATAAATCCAATTACCAATCTGAACCCCGTCTTAGCCACTGATACACATGACAACATATTCCTTATTAAGATCTACACTGTTTATCTGAAATGCTCTTTGATGCAGTAAATATTTATTAAACTATAAGGAAAAAGAATTTCTGCCTTTCTGAACTGTAAAAAGATTTTTAACAGAAGATCTGTGGATGCAATCTAACAGATTGGACTACTGACATTCATTGTTCATTCTATTGTTGGACAAAATGCAGATAATAAGGAAACAAGGTTATCAGCATATGTAAATAATTCATGGAAAGAAAATAAACAGTAATTATCACTGATAATAAGTCAAGTCAGTTCTATCTAAGTGATACCAAAAGATGATGTGAATACATACAGACATAATGTTCACTGACAAATTAAATCTTAAAGTTATATGAATACATATGGGATGTTGAAGTAAAGTACTTCAGTTTCTTTCAGAAACATATATTCTACATTATTTCAATCAATGAGATTACATATGTAATGGTATGAAGAAGAAAGTGATCATTATTTTCCAGTTAGATGGCTTTGTACCAGCAATAAACAGCCAAGCCAATCTGATATGTAAAATCACAAAGAATGCACTTGGAAAATAAGTGTACTCCAATGACAAGCACACTTTTCCACATTATCACTGACAATTTTTATACACATTGCAGGATGATTTGTGTTTCATGTTCACAACATAATCTTTTGATACGCTTTTATAAAGTGACTTCCTAACTGAAAATACATTTATTAAGTACTGTTAGGAATACATATAAAACAAAGCAGAGAATTACATTATATTATTAACTGCCTCTGGGAATGTGCCATAACATAATGCCCAGCACCACAGAATTATTAACCTGTGAATGTATCTTAATTCCAATACATACTGTACCCATGTAGAAACGACGTAAGTATGCTATCAGCAGATTTATGTATGTAAGGGGTGGGCCATAAACACTGGCCCCCACACTGTGACCTTCAATGATCTATTGTGCTTCCCCTTGGATTAGCCCTTTATTAATCCTACACTTTTAATAAAGTGTAGAACCCTGCTTATGGGGTCGTCATAAAAGTCACTTGGTTCCATAAAAAACTGACCCAAGTGATGAAATATTAAATAAGCTATGGCCTCACAATCACACAGGATGTGTGTGGCTGATTCGTTATCTTGTAGGCACCTTTCACAAGCTGGGTTACCTGTCAGTCTCAACTTGAAAAGGTGTCCTGTTAGGTGGCAGTGAAGCTCATGCTACATTTCAAATATTCTTAAAGTCACAAAGAAACCAGGTCTGGAAATGTGGACTGTAATGGAGTACTCTTGTATTCCAAATGTGTTCTTTGTGAATTTGCATTATTCTATGGCCACATTCATGGTATGCAAATGTTGCTTCCTGCTTGCCCATGCTGGTTTCTTGCTTGGCTTACTCTTCAGCCATAAGGATGAAAGCAACATGCTCCTCTGAAAAACTGCCTGACTTCTAGTTGACTACAAAGCATTATACCCCAGAAAACAGAACTCTTTAGAACTGTAGATCTTAATGAGATCCATGCCTTTAGTCATGTGCCAATACTTTGTATAATGAGTCATTTTAGAGACAACTCATAAAGTGCAATCTGAGATTCACATAAAGCTGGAATTATAATGAACTGACAAATACAAAAATAATTAGCTATATAATTAAGCAATCAGTATATTCATGTTTACCAGTCAGAGGAATAATACAGATTGGACTCCATGTTATATATCGTAATTTCAGCATTATTTATAATCATTTTATAAAATAATTACCCTGTCAGGTTTCCCTTGTCCTCTTAGCAAGTCAAATTTTGTTCTTTCACTGAAAGAAGAATTTGAATGTGGAATCAGTTAAACTATGATTTGCCTTTGATTGTCACTTCAATAGTTTCAGCAATTTTCACCATACTGATATTTCCTTTAATTGGATATTACTATACAATATACACGCATATAGACTTCAGTGACACAATAAAGATGTCAAACAAGGAAAAATTATTCAGCATGTTTCTTAAAAATGCAGGTAAGTTGATCCAATCAACTTGTCAAAATGCAATTCACATGATGGTTAATCCTGCCCACAAACTGATCAAAGCGCTGTATATGAAACTCTCCAGAGATATGGAAGACATTTAATGGTATAATGTAACTATGATTTGGCCTGTCCTTTTATATAACCTATATAACTTCGATGACAGCTGTTTTATTCCATTTTTTATAAAAGGTCATCACAATACACATAAGAATTTTAAATGTTCACTGAAATAGCAGCAACCTCCTCTTCTTAACCTCTTGAAACAACAATAAACTTTAAAAGCATTCAGCAATGGGATAGTATTCTTCTAATATATCCAGATTGTTTGCTGGCATGTTATTTTGCCTAGAGAACCTCATAGAGCACATATACCCACTTCATGCTATTAACAGCTACAGCTTCGATACCTGTGCCATTATAATGAATGGGACAAAATATCGCTGATAACAGCTATAATTTCTTAAACGTTTTCTCATACCACCAAAATCTTGTCCATAAAACATTCTGTCAATGGACTGCTGCACTATGGATAGGGTTGCCAGGCATTCATACATACACAGATGGGTTGGCCCTCATATCAGTATCTTGTATTATATTCCAAAAGAAGTCTGTCAAGAGACATGACTGTTCTATAAATGAATAGATCCCATAAGCTGACTTGGAAAAAAAGTAGTAAATCATTCAGGGCTATCTCCAGAAATTTCCTGTTAAGGTTCTTATTTCAGTGAGACAGACCCAAGAATACCTGATCCATACTGGAGACCAAATACTGTGAAGTATTCTATGAATGATTATTCATCCAACAGTATTCAGTATTTATGTACACAACATTGACATAAGGTGCACTTTCTTCTTAATGACCATTCCATGCAGTTAAGAAGGGAACTGACATGACATGTCTACAGTAGTGTAAATTCTACAGTGTTTGGTGAACAATGAACATGTCAAGGAGGAGGCACTTCAAAATAATGCAGACATATAGAAACACAATGTAAAAATTACCACTATTTCCTTAATTAATTTTTTAGTATTTTTCAAATCTTGAATGCCACTATTAATTCCCCAAACAAACATCAACACTTTGTATCCATGTTTCTTCCCACCCAAAATATTAGGTCCCATATTCCTAAACCATAGATCTGGCAACCCTAATTATAGAATAATTCAAAATGTCATAAGTAAAGGAATTAAGTATCAAATCAAGTCATAACTATTGTCATATTTTCTACTGTTCAGTTTACAAGCCAGTAGATCCCATAATTATACAGTGTCACCTCTCTATGACCTTTCAAATTGCATGCTTTTTTATTTTACATTTGTAAATAAATTCCTTTACATAAAGAACTAAATTCCTGAGGTATTTCGCTTATAAACTATTTCATACAAATTCCTGGAAACTACTGGCAAATGTATCAACAAAGGGAACAGTATGTCAACCTACATAACATATGTGTCACATATTTTCACACAACACTGAAAGAGAAATATGGACACTGCTCTTGTACAGAGAAGGCCTGAATATGCTACTGTCTCTGTAAGACAGAAAATCTACAAAAGTATCTCCTTTATATGCAACAGTAAAAATACAAAAAGATTTGTGTAAGAAAAAAATAGCATAACAATGCAAAACTGCTATCTGTTTTATATTTATTATCTGTAGCTTCTAGAGTTCAACAGATATAAAATAATTCCATACTGCTTGCTCAGTGAAATCATCTGTTGTAAATCATCTTCTATAGTACAATTCTAACATACTGAAAGACATCATAACATTAAAGCCAAACAGAAAAAGTTACTACCAAACAAATATAACATTACACCCCCAGATATACTACACACACTCTTAATTAACACTTCCTCCAGACATTAAATAAAATAATCATTCTTATATACTTTTCAAGGAAATGCAGTTTTAGAATGATATTTTGCGATTTTTGCAATTTGTAGTGTTGTACATACATTGTGTATAGTCATATATCTTGCTTACAACACCAATAAAAGGTTCTGTTCATCACTGAATGATACATTATATGAACCCATTACATGCCATTCCATTTGCAGTGTTCATGGGATCGTCTGACTTTTGTAAACAATGTTATCTGCTATGATCTTAACATTACCAAACTAATATATAAATTGAACATGTAAGATGTGCGTTAACATTTTATCATTGACTTCTCAAAGTATCAGTATTTTCAGCACATTATCAACATTTTCACCCACACTGTAATATACATTAAAATATGGATTCTATACCTAATATGACTAACATTACATTAACGTTTCTGTCATTTCTTTTAAATAATATACACATTGTCATAACAGTGTATGAGTCTGAGATTTTTCTTCCTCTCCAATTTCTTCAGTCACTTCATTAACATGTCCAACTCTACAACACCAGGATGTGAGACATAAATGTGTCTCTGCACCAAGTCAAAAATTGTATGGTTCAGAAACTGTATGACCACATCTGACTACCTGCCTCATATAAACACAACTTTTAGATTAAATATATACAATAATGATTACTGAAAATAAACTCAATGATTTTATGTGATAACAGAGAATGTCAGGTAATGAATCACCATTCTTTGTTGCAGCCTCAAACATCTTTCCAGAAGAGACTGTTGGTATGTCAGTCTAGAAGGAAAAAAGCACTACACATAATTCTCAGAATATACATTCTCTCCCTGGATTATCATACATTTACCACAATGTATTATAAAAGTACCTCAAATACTGCTGAGACCAAAAACGAAATATTAAGTATTAGATACTTCAGGTGCCTCAGTAAAATTGGACATCACCATAGAAAATCATCAGAGTAAATTACCAGAATGTTAAGAACACCCACAGAAACATATCTTAAAAAGTTAGACTGAATAACAGACTCCAGGTCACGATGGAGCAACTGTTGTGGGATGGGAATTTGTCATCCATCTGCAGCTTGAGCATTGAGTACAATAGTTTCCCCTTTGTCGCAGACTTTGGAAGCCCGACATTTGGTTTCATTCTCCTGATGGAGGGGAGGCAACATATATGTGAGAGCCAAAAGCATGCTATCACAACACAAGCCCCTGTAGTTCCTTCAAAAGCTCATCTTCTTTCTTGATTTTGTCCAGCTGGTTTAGTTCAAGCTGGCGACCAGCAGCCCTCTGTTCTTTCAGCCGTGAGATTTCCACAAGCTTCTGTAAAACAGTTAAAACAAACTCACTTTCAGTACAAGCATAATGTAGAAAGAATATGCACAAACTGAGGGATCTGCAGTCCACTAAACAATCTATATCTGCATATTCAAATATATACAGTAGAACTTGGTTATAACATCATCAAAGGGACCTAAAAATAGTGTCGTGATAAACGAATGTCGTAACCGAAATGGGCATTTCCACAGTAGCCTTATGTTAGTCATGTAAAAATCTACCAAAAACCGAGTTAAAATGTTGCATTTTTTAGTGAAATACGTAGTTAAGTACAGACTAACGTAACATTAACGTGGAATTAATATGGATTCTCCATATGGTTTGTACTGTAGAACTCACCAAACCAAGTTCGCGGAATACATCAGCTTTTTTCCTTCCATTTTCTATTTCACGAATCACTTTAACTTTCGCTTCAGTGCTTAAAGCTTTCCTTTTCATTGCCATGTTTTCGCTACTGCACTTCTCTGGGTTTAGGCAGGAACACTATAGGGTAAGTAGACAATGTGAGGTCCTGTTAGACGAGATTCTAGGAAAGGAATGCAGTTAACAACCTGCCGCGTCCTCTTGCACTATTCACGCAGTCCCACCCCACACCCTTGTTTTCGCATAAAACCCACGCTCCTCTTGCAGCCCGCGGTCGTATTCTTCCAGGACAGTCACGTCAGCAAGTAGAGAAAGTGAGGGTGGGCAGACACATCGAACTTTCCCACGATATCAGAGAAATTCAGGAATGAAAATGACGTTACATACGAGGTTGATGCATTTGTGCATGTCGTACTAAGCAAGGTATAAAAACAGTTGCTTTATGAGGAATTAGTTCGTACCATTGAATATTTGACGCAATAGACAAGGTGTCGCAGAAACCGATGTTGCTATAACCAAGTTTTACTGTATTTTCATGCAAGTACTATAACAAATTAAATTTCCAAATGAAACAACATATCATTACAAAATTAACTGTTTTTTTTTTCACATTTCAGTGGTACAGTTAATTATTATTATACAGGTAGAATGGACACATTGAGATTAAGGTGCCGAGTTAGCTAGCCAGCTGTATGTAGATCTTAAAAGATATTTCCTAATGTTGTTCTTGATATTTTCTTCTACTTTCCAGTGGACTCTGGCACGTCAGCAGCTGTTGTGTGATCTGCATAAGTAAAGGTGGGGATACACGAGCGCGCCGCTGCTGTAATGCAACATAGATCGAATGGGATTCGCAACTTATTCGCTCGTGTGTACGTGAGTTTGAACATACGCAGCACACGCCTCAAATGCCGCGCAGTGATCCGGTTGCTGTCGGTTTTTCTGACAAACATAAAGGGATTCGTTGCCGCAGTGTGGTCGGGTTCGGTTGCCATTTGTCTCGTGAAGCGCGCACGCCTCAAACATGGAGTTGTCAGAAGAAGATATTTTGGGGCTCATAGAGGCATACAAATCATTCCCTGTACTGTGGAATCCCAGAGAAAATGATTATTATAAAAAGCAAAGCTTCCTCGTCTTCCATGGTCGTGTGGACGGCGAAGACAGAATGGAACTGAGGTGCTCGCGGCTTGCGCGCCCCATTCAGATGGTTTGTTGCGTGCGCGTCGCTTGTTCGAGGTGCACCAAATCACTCTGCGCATCACTTGTAATGCCGTGTTGCAGCCGTGGCACGCTCGTGTATCCTCACCTTAAGGCTATCACACAGACAGTGGTAGTTAGATCAGATGTGGCAGGGCAGCATTATGCCATGGTCTTCATCATGGTTTTATTCCCATCAAGTACATATGAGTGAGCTACTGGTATGTATGAAGGAAATCCTTATTTGGAACTTACCATAGCCAAGTAAGTTATCTCTTTACTTGTGCTAATAATGAGTTACTGTGACAGAACATACAACAGAAACTTTAATGACAAAATTGGCTGCCTACATTAAAATAATATAAATCCCATGCTGTATAGCTAGTTCTTAACAAGATATTTACACGTTCACTGGTGCACTTTGTTGTACTGGAGGCATGAACTATGTAACATGCAGCATTTAAAAAAAAAAAAAGCAATTGTTTATTATCAAATTACTTTAGAGTGAATTTTTAAAAAATATGATAGCATGGAAGCATTATGAAAATCCACACTAATAAATAATGTTAAGGCTATAAGGCACAATAAAGTTTCTTTCTTCAGTAAAGTTAAATTTTAACCAAGAAATCTGTCCATCGCTAGCTCATAGTGTGAAAAAACAATCTGATATATAGCTACGGAAGCAGAAACTATGAAAAATCGTATTAAAATTAATTTTCAAGCAGTAAGCTGTGAAGACATAAAAGGGATTGCACGGGCTTACAAAAAGGTAATGTTGTCATGATGGTGTTAATCCTATAGTCTCCCCAGTGGAATTTTATCTGCTGCCAGATTATCAAATTCTGACAAAACACCTCATGGTTTGGAGCCATTTAATGAATTGACTCCAAAGAGCAGAGTCCTTCTCAAAAGAAGCTAAGTCACTCAGCTGGTCAAGAAATTATTTTATGGACTGCAAAGGTTCATTTCTGTGTTTAATAGATAATACCACCAGGCCCAATCTTAAGCTAGATGAATCAGTTCACAACACACATTCTATTTCATTAATATCCATATTACTATTTTCTCCCTTTGAAGAATAAGTATCCAGAAAAGTATCTCATTTCAGGTTTTATGACTGAAATCATGCATGTATTTCTTACCACTCTTATGTGTGCCAGAAATCCTGCCAATCTCACCCTCTCCAGTTATCTATAGCATAAGATAAAGCTGCCCCTTTGCTTAATTTAGAACTGCACTATCAAGATATGTAGGTAAGACAATAAGTAAGTTACAAATTGATATAGAACTTAAATAAGAGTACTGATTTGAAAAATGCTTTTATTTCTCAACATAACTCCCTGTATATTGAGCCACTTGTCCCATCGTCCCTGAAAACCAGCAGCATAAAATTCTTTGGGCTGCTGTTGGAACCAGGCGGTGACTTCCCTTTCTACAGCTTCATCGGGAAAATGTTCAGCTGAAAGATGTTTTAAGAGGGCCAAATGAATGGAAGTCACTTGGAGCAAGGTCGGGGCTATACGGAGGATGCTCGAGGACTTCCCATTTGAAATTTTGCAGTGTCTCATTTGTCTTGTTGACAGTATGGGGACGTGTGTTGTCATGCAAGAGCAACATGCCTGGTTCCGACAGCAGCCCAAAGAATTTTATGCTGCTGGTTTTCAGGGGCTTGTGAAACAATGGGACAAGTGCCTCAATGTACAGGGAGATTATGTTGAGAAATAAAAGCATTTTTCAAATCAGTACTCTTATTTGTCTAAGTTCTATATCCATTTGTAACTTACTTATTGACTTACCCTCGTATATGGAGTTATGGAGGTACACACTGGTAACCTAAGCACTAGTTGGAGGTGAGCAGTTCAGTCTCACACACTAACCACACTATCCCCCAGGGAATGAGTCCTTGGTACCCACTGAATAGGAGGCTGGTGGGCACAAAAGCTCATCTGGATATGGTGGGAACAGAAAAACCACTGCTCCTGTTAGCAACTGAATGCCAATCATCCAGCCTGTAGGCAGCCACTACATTGACTAAGCTATCTTGGCTCATTCTTCTCTCTTCGGTCCAAATATTTTCCACAGCACTTTGTTTTCAGGCATCCTCAATCTATGTTCTTCTCTTTGGATCAGAGAAACCACAGAGTTAGTTATTTTCATACATTACCAACCAAACAGCTTGATGCTTGTCCATCTGTATCAACTAGCTGCTTGCAGCACCAGGTCTCGCTGCAGAGCAATCTATCAGATAGATTTTGTTCAAATTTTAAATGCTCATCTCAAAATGTGTCTAGCAGCATTTGAGAGTGGCATTTTGTGAAACATTCTTCTAGCAGCTATAATGCTCAGAAAGATGAAGCAGCTTCTGTCTCCCTTAAATTTCTTTTCCTTTTGTTCTGTTAAATTAATGACATAATTTATCTTAATGATGTCTAACATGTTAGCATTCTATAAAGCTGTCATCTATTGATATCTACCAATACACAAAGAACTATAAACTTTCAATGTAAGATTTAAGATTCTCACAGCAGTGATTACAAAGTGTTATCTCTTCTGGAAGATAACACCATGTAGTTCACTGAAAGTCAACTGAAGTTTCAGAGGAATATATCGCCTCCAGTTTCAGGGTTTAAGAGTAAGCCAAGCAAGAAAACAGTATGAAGCAAGCTGAAAGCAAAGCATGCTCTGCATGTTACTCTCAAACATCACTTCACTTTCAATGGACTACACAGTGTTATATCACAGATGACAGAATTCTTTAGAAGGTTTTAAATTTGGTATAACACAAAAATTATTTTCCAATGCTCCCACTGACTATGCAAGACTCAAAGAAGCAGGAAATTGCAGCCTTTACAACAGGAAGCACATGTTTCTGTTCACATTAATGGAGAATTCTTTTCAAAAAGTTATACTTGCTTTATAAGTTTGCATTATACAGCACTTCAACTTACACTTTTCAATTTCTTTATTTTTTTCAGTTTCTCTGGATCTCCCATAAGCTCAGCATCTGCAAGTGCTACTGGCAACTTAGGTGCTGCCACTGTTGAGTCACCATTTGTAACAACAGATGCCACTGTTGTAGTTGTGGCTGCAGCAGTACATGCATTGCTAGTAAAAGCAGCACCACTACTGGAACCTGCGTTTACCCCATCTTGCTCTTTCTTCGCCTTCTTTGCTTCACGTTTTTTCTTCTGCTTTAGTGCTGCCTTTGACGGGTTTGCTAAATTAAAATAACATCAATAATTCTTATTGTTATGACAATACAGCGTCTAAATTTACTTACCACTTGACAATAGCAGAATGCAAAAAAAAAAAAAAATCATCTGTTCCAGGAATGGGTTTAGTGAAGTCAAACATAGAAATAGCTGAAATGTATTTAAAGTATACTGCAACCTTAAGAGACAGCAAAAATTAATATCACAAAAATATCCCATTCTAATGAGAAGCCATAACCATCTGAAAATTGTTAAAATATACAAATATTATTTTTTGGACATTAACAATCATCCTGTCTTTATCTAAAAACCCTTCCTGTTTATCTTTCAAAACACGTTCTGGAGATTGGATTCTGTCTCCATCTTCAGGTAAAACCTGCTCAGTTGGGCCCAATCGATAGACCTAGTCCCTTTCTCCAGAGTACATCAGTACTGTGACGCGTTACCTTATGTCCATCACCGCAACAACCGCTACAATCGGAACGGACACCTCCACGACAACAAATACGTGGAAACTGTGGAGTTCCCACAGCGACAAATTGTAGCAACGAATTGTCGTTGAGTAACAACAGATGAAACGAAACACGTTACCAGTGTAATCTATAAAGAGCATTCCCAAAGCAACAGATTGCTGAACAGCGGTAACGGAACTGTGAGAAATGGTGTCCGGTATCCAGTCCGCCCAAAATCATAAGTTTGTCATTATTGCCACTGAAACTCAACCTCTGTTTTCTTTATAACCATGTGGAACATCCACACTAACACTACCATACTGAAACGTGTTGGGGTGACTTACCAGATGGGTTCTGGGTTGGATGACTGGATTTATTAACACCTTATATTTTCACACAGTTCACGACTACAGGTGATACAACACTATCACTATTCTACACACTTTACAGCTCACCACTGCACACACTAGGATTCTCTGTCTTCACTAGTCATCTCCTATGTATGTAGGACAAAGTCTCTGTCCGCATGTAATTTCTCATTCACTTTGAAGTATGCACCAGCAATTATCTCACAGTCTTCCTCCATATTGGCATAGCTTTGCTTTAGTTTCAATATCTGAGTCTCTCCTTGCCTTTCAAGAAATTGGAGCTTTTATGGTGATTATGACAGCTCAGTCAATAAAATTAACAGTAGCCACTGATGACAAAATTAAAAAATAAAACACAGAACCTTAGTATGCATCAAGATAGAGTTTTGTAACACGAGGCTTTTCCGCAAAACTTACCTGCTAGGCAGCAGACTGATCACAAACCCAAACTGTTATAAAACTGACATTTGAAGGATTTTGATAACAATATGCCATTAAAAGGTATAATTCACACGAAAATTAAAATCAACAGAAGAGGTTCCTTTTTTTTTTTTTATCAGTCACCACTGCTAATATATAATACACCCGACTAATACTGTCCTCCGACAAAGAGAAGGAAAGGCAAGCTGTGGGTTTAACTGGTCAACCTTGACCACTATACACACTAAGATTCAGTGTACCAAGGGCAATGGTAACAGTTACCCCAAAATCATGTTTTCTTCTTGTACAGTACAAGCAACCAGGCCTTGCTTAATGGCCTTACCTTCTCTCCACTGGAGAACAGTACATTAATATGATGTAGCAGTATGCATGCACTGTTCGCCTGCAAAGCTGTATTAGTGGGAGATTAAATTCCTTGTTAAGGTCACCCATGCTAGACTGGTTGAAGGGTAGGGACCTGAAGAAAGGCAGCCACTAATCCTCCAAGTATGGTGTCTGGTGTGCGGCAAACACCCTCACCTCAGAAAACAATTTGTATTAGGAAAACTGATAATGGATGCTAACTGGAAGAACAGGCATCCATCCTAAAGAAGGCCAAGGTTCTTAAAGAGGCCTGCAAGGCCAAGGAGTAAGTGAAGGAGGGAGAGAGTGAGAAAGCAAGCACGTGGGTAAATATGCTATAGTATGGCACTAATGTGTTAAAGAGTAATGGGAAAATAACATATGAACTCACAGTCTCCACCTGGTCGAGTGTTGCTTGCAGGCTCCTCGTCATCGTGGAGTTTGAAATTACTTTCTCGCCCACGGGCTGATGGAGGACGGTAAGCTTGCTTTGAAGCTGAAAATGTATCAGAAAGTCCATATTTGCAATTCAGTTTGAAAGGGAAAATTACATTCGTGGGTACGAGAATTGTGAAATCTGTTTGCAGCAAACTCCAGGATTCTTTGTCTTCACTAGTTGTCTCCTGGCAATGTATCCCAACACAGAAGCTATAACAGTCTCACTGAATTATACACTCCAAATATTACACATAAAGTCTTCTCTTCACAGCTGCACTCTTGCAACTAACTCTTAACTACACTACACTGCACTACACTAATCTAATCTAATCTAAGCAACAGGTCTTTGTTATATAGGCTCCGCATGAACAACACAGAAAACATAGTTCTACTGTTGTGTAGCACAGACCACAGAGAAAACAGATCAAGTACTGTTGGACTGTGACATCATTGCGCCTGGGTGGAAGTGTGTTTACCATGCTGTTGCCTAGAAATGGGTTTATAAACTCTGTTATTCCATTGTTATGTGTGTATCATGGGGTATTTATCGAGCCACAGCCTGGCAGTGCATTGACATGTCACACTGCTCCCTCCTTAAGGCTGTCTGTCTCAAATAGCCTAATGGTGAACCACCTTTCCTTCCTTTCCAGGTGCTGTGCTTTCAATGTCTGCAGTCAGTCATACTGTCGCTCACTCGGAGCAGCTCACTGCTAAAGTTCCAGTATATCCAGATTTGCTCAAAATGTTTCTAGGCAACAGCTTGGTTAACACATTCTGAGGTGTAACAATGGAAGATGTGTCTCACTGGATGAATGTTACAGTTCGTTGCTAGGCAACAGTCAGCACGCCAATGAAGTCATCATTTACGATTCATGTGACTTGCGTTTTCTGTGTTGTCCTTACAGATCCTATATAAGGAAGACCTGTTGTAGCTTAGATTAGTGTAGACCATTGTGCAGTGGAGTGTAGGTAAGAGTCAGCTTCACACCCCTGCCACTATCCGCTGGGAGCCCCCAGTACCCACTGGATAGGAGGCTGGGTGCACCCCAGTCAGTCTGGACAGTGTGGAAAAGAAAAAATCCTGCACTGCCATAAACTGAACCCAGACCATCCTGCCCGTAGCCTGTTGCTATACTGACTGAGCTATCCTGACACCTTTCATCAACATAACTCTATATCAGAGTGCCATTAATGTCATTTGCATTCCAGAAGTGCCATGCTGATACTACTGATTATAGGAAACTGAAGAATACAAGGTGGAAAGGCTTCCACAGTCATGATATCTGTACCGAATTTCTTTAAAATTCATCAGTTGGTTCAAAAGCTCGTCAGTGCTTTACAAATTATTTTATGATACTGTCAGTATACAGACTATATAACATCAAATGGTAGGTAGATGGAGAATAATAAATAGGAAAGAATTTGTAAGGAAGTAGCCACTGGCTAACTTATTGTACTAGTCCATCACTTTCCTGGACGGGCTCATGAAAACCATGAAAAATGTCAGTCACATTAAACAGTATACTGGCTGAGATTCAAATTCAGCACCTCCTGAAAACAAGTCTAAAGCATTACCACAACACCAACCTGCTCAGTAAAATATTTTGCATGGAAGACTGAAACAAATGTGGGCATGATGACACCACATGCCTGTTATAAAATATGGAATGGAAGTCAAATAACAAATTACAGTGGGATAATGTGGTAAATATACACCACTCAATACTGTAAAATCATAAACAAAATTCTTAATGACTCACCCTGTGGCTGGCTTGGCTGAATTCCTTCAACAGGCTTATAGTTTATCACAGGTTCATGAAAAACACCAGCTGGAAACAACTGCCAAAGAACTTCCCACAGTTCCTCTTGTTTGTTCCACGGACGCTCATACAGTAATGTTCCGCTGTAGTGCCAGATCTTGAACCTCAACATAAGACCCAGTTGGTCATGTAATAAAATGACACAGCTAGCTAACATCAAATAAAATGTTACTATATAAAGAACAATTTACAGAAAGCTGTGACAAAAAATTAAAGAAAACATTCTATGCTGTTTCCTGTTCTGGTGAATACTTCTCACTTTTCTAAGCTTACTTTATACTAAGTTCCCCAACATTATTTCATAACAGCACAGGAAGAATGAATGTCAAGAAATGAACTATGGAATTAGAATGAGCATGTTTCATACATAATTAGCATGTAGTTGACTTTTATGTTAATTTCTATTATGCACATTCAAGATCCTCGATTTTGTACACCTTCTATTTATAGTCTCATTTTTACAATTTAAAGTCAAAATCAGCTGAAATATACTACAAATACTAATCAGAAATATCATGCTTTTTCACAAATTGCATTCTTTGTGATTTTACAAATTTCATTTGCCTTGTTCATTTACTCAAGACACAAATCCACTGTCGCAAAGCTAATCAACGCAGAAAGTCAGAAATTTAGGTAACAGAAATATTTTTCAGCTTCAAACTAAACTTCTTGCACCAAATCACCATTTGCCCATCAAAAATTACACTGAACTAACAGACTGTAAATGAAAATATTTACCCATTTCCCATCCGTAATCTTGGAGCAGTAGTTGCTGTAAGGAAATGCTCACCATCAGGTGACCAACGAAGTAATGTTGTATCAGCAGCCTCCATTTTGGCTATCAGCTTTCGTGCTGTTGCGTCCCACAGTTCAACATTACCTTGGAGATTACCAAATCCACCAAGGATCAAGAGTAACAATAGTTAAAGAAACACATTTCAAAAACAAAAAGGTGAAATTTGGGTTTACAAATTCAATTTTTCACTCCTTTATAAAGTTACAGCCTACAAAGAGAGAAAGAAAATGTTGAAATGCCAAACAGATATGGAACAGTTGTTTCACACACCATTTAGAAACTGCAAGTAACAATTATAAATGAGAAGTATTGATCTTGTTTCACTGGAAGCTAAGGATATATGCAAGCAGGATTAGACTGTGGGTTTCTCTATTTCCAGAGCAGTATTCACTGTTTTATGTTCACAATACATGCAGCCTTCTCTTCTGCACTAACTGAAGGGGACTGCAGTCTACATAATCATTTTACTTTTTTCTTCAGCACATACAAAGGCTGTTTTGTGTCTTTTAAGGGCTGCTTCAGCTGGCCTTCTTTGTCCACATCTAGCACAATTTAATTCATTATTAATTGCAATCTGGTTATTCCATTGTTATGCTTCAAGCAATGTTTTTATATAGTAGTTTGTCAGTGTAGTGTGATGTTCATGCATCAGTCCAGGCTGTACATTCTGTATATTTTCTAACTGAGTGTCCCTTCATGTTGTTATATGTATGTTACTGTATTCAGCCATGTTAGGGATAGATGTAAAAACATCTGTTAATGCAAAAACAGTAATTATTCACACATGTAAAGGGGGAGGTGTTCAATAATTTCATAAAAATGCTTATTATAGCAAGTATTTGCAATATCAAAAAGTGGCTAAAACACAAATCATCAAGTGCCAGTTTCTACTTACAAATATTATTTGGCATAAAGGTTACAAAACTGCAGGTATGATAAAAATGCTTGTCTTTTTGGCATTTGTAATGGAAGTTGCAGAAAGGCATGCATTAGCTTCATCATGCTTATTTGTCCAGCTGACTGTCTGCATGGAACAACTCAAGAAGCACTAAAAGACCTTTCATGGAATTAAATACTGGGATATCTTCTGAAATCTGTCAACATATTTTGTTTTTGGTTAACACTTGATGACAATGGACAATAAATGCAAACACCTAAATGCGTGTACCTCATGCATAACTCTTGTGTAACTCATTAAACATTTATCAGAATGAACTGTTTCAAACAAAGGTTGCAGATAAAATCAAATCTTACATTTTAAGCCCAAACACTTTTACCATTCAAGAAGTTAAAATGGCATTTATGCTGTCTACTGGCAGATGCACCAGAGTTATGCCATGCAGACATATCCTAAGTTGTCTGAAGTGGTTACTCTGTACACATTAAATTTACAAAGAATAATGCAACATTATCACGGTCATTAGTTTAGAGAACAGGGTGTTCAGGAGAATATTTGGACTGAACAGAGATGAAGTGACAGGAGGTTGGAGAAAACTGCATAATGAGGAGCTTCACAACTTGTACTCTTCTCCAAGTATAATTAGAATGTTCAAGTAAAGGAGGATGAGATGGACAGGATATGTAGCACGAATGGGGAGAAGAGGAATGCATATAGGATATTCGTGGGAAAGCCAGAAGGAAAGAGACCACTTGGAAGACCAAGGCGTAGGTTGATGGACAATATTAAAATGGATCTTAGAGAGATATGATAGGATGATATGGATTGGGTTGGTCTGACTCAGGATAGGGACCAGTGGAGGACTCTTGTGAACACGGTAATGAACATTCGGGTTCCATAAAATGCTGGAAAGTTCTTAAGTAGCTGCACAATTGGCAGCTTTTCAAGAAGGGCTCACCTCCATGAGTGAGCGATTAGTTTATTTGATCTTTGAAGCTAAAGATTTTCTCATGCTTATATAACCTCTTACACTCACAGCCACTGGCTGATCCTTTCTGAACATGATTTAGAACTCTACACCTGTGTACTCAGCACTTCTGCAATTCTCTATTCAGATATACAGGGCAGGGTGCAGAAGCTTCCTTTTTGTGAAGACGCATTGTGAATGGAGGGGAGGTCGCAGAAAAGTGGGGATAGGCTCATTGAACGCAGCAGTCGCGGAAGTTTCTGTCTAATACCCCTCAGTAGGAAACATGAGGTGGACGAGTGAGCAGCATGCATTTGCTGTCGAAACCTATTTTTCGAACAACCATTCCTATGTGGCGGTGCAGCGTGCATTCCGTACTCACTTCGGAATTAAGCCCAGAGGTCCGGTTCCCAACCGGAAAGCGATTGTTTTGTGGGTAGAGAACTTTAGGACAACCATGAGTGTGGTGAAAAAATCATCAGGATAACAACGGACCGTTACGATGCCAGAAAATGTGGAGGCAATTCAACAGTCGATTTTGACATCTCCAAGACGCTCTGCTCGCAAACATGCAGTCGTCCTAGACATATCCAATCGTTCAATGCACCGAATTCTTCATGAACATCTTCATTTCCATCCGAATAAGATGGTTGTTGTGCAAGAATTGTCACCATGTGATTTCCAGAACCAAATAACGGCGTGCGAAACGTTACTGGAAGCTTTACCACCTGACGCACTTGTTTTCTTTAGTGATGAGGCACATTTTCACCTATCTGGATATGTCAACAAGCAGAATATGCACTATTGGAGTGGTAACAATCCCAGAGAGCTCCATGAGAGGCCACTTCACAGTGATAAGGTGACAGTATGGTGTGCATTGACGAGAGGTGAAGTTATTGGCCCGTATTTTTTTGAAAAAGACAATCATGCAGTTACTATCAATTCACAGCGGTATGTGGACATGATTAAAAACGTTCTTGAACCAGCTCTTGAAGAAATGCATCTAGGAAATGTCTGGTTCCAACAGGATGGTGCCACGGCCCACACAGCCCGAGCTTCAATGACAGTTTTGAGGGCAAAGTTCCCCGGATGGCTCATCTCACTTCGAGGTGACATCCCATGGGAGTAGCCCAAATTCCAGTTCACATGTTGGAACGTGCAGAGGGGAACTTCAGAAAACGGTTGCATCAGTGCATACAGAACGGTGGCCACCATCTTCAAGATATTTTGTTTAAAGCTACATGATTTAAAACTTTAAAGTATGTTCTTTCATTAGCTAAACATAAATTTTGTCTACAAGCAATAATTTTTCTTTTATTTGCCTTCAAAAAAGGAAGTTTCTGCACCCCACCCTGTACATTTGTCAGATTTTGGGAGGCAGACTTTGCTCTCCCAAGCAACAAAATGTGCAGGATGTGGCTTAACAGTAACATAAATTAATTGGACTTCCAGCTATACATAACTTGAAAGTAAACCCACAATTACAGTCCATGTAAAACTTGCCAAGGAGTCAAAGTAGGCTTGGAATCACTCATTATGACAAAACTGCTGGGAAAATGCGGTTATCCTAATAAGAATTTTCCACACATATACATTAAGAAGTGGATGATGTAGGTGTCTCTTTTCTTGTTATAATGAGATTCTTGTTATAAGTTATGCTCATTCTATCACTGTTTTGCTGTATAAGATGAACTGAGTAACTTCATGGAACTGAGCCCTTCTTGAGAAGCCAGCAGCTCTGCAGCTACTCCAGAACTTCCCAACAATTTATGGAACCTGAAGGTTCATTACTGTGTTCACAACAGCCCTCTTCTGGTCCCTATCCTGAGCCAGATAAATCCAGTCCACACCATCCCATCATATTATTCTACGATCCATTTTAATACACTGAAGTGCCAAAAGTCATGGGATAGGTACCTAGTATTGTGTAGGACCCCTCTAGCCCGGCGAAGTGCAGCAACTCGACGTGGCATCAATTCCACAAGTGCACGGAAGACCTCTAGAGAGATGTTGAGCCATGCTGTCTGGATAGATGCCCACAACTCCCTGGTATTTGTAGGTGCAGGATTTTGGGTGCGAATGGACCTCTCCACCACATCCCATAAATGCTCGATTGGGTTCATGTCGGACAAACGTGGTGGCTACACCATTCGTCGGAACTCTCCAGAATGCTCCTCGAACCAATTCTGGACAACTCCAGCCCAATGACACGGTGCATTGTCCTGCTGGAATATCCCATAGTTGTGGGGGGGCATGAAGTCCATGAAGGGATGCAAATGGTCACCAAGCAGTGTAATGTAGTGGTCACGGGTCAATGATGTGTTTAGGTGGACAAGCGGACCCAACTCATGCCACGTGAACACACCCTACACCAGTATGGAACCACCACCAGCCTGCATGGTGCCTTGTTGACAAGTGGGGTCTATGGCCTCATGAGGTCTGCGCAACACCCGAAACAACCGGTACCATGACTCATCGGACCACACCACACGTTGCCAATCCTCCAGGGTCCAATTAGCGACATCACAAGCCCAGGTGAGGCACTGTGTCCGGTGTCATGGTGTTAACAGAGGCACTCTGGTAGGTCTTCTGCTCCCATATCCCATGGAAGCCAAAGAACGCTGCACTGACCTGCTGGATATGCGTCTGGTACCTCCTGCATTGAATGTGGATGTGATTTCAACCAGTGTCGCTTGTCTGTTACCACGGACAATTCTAAGTAGACGCTGCTGGTCGCGATCATTAAGCACCTGTGGTCAGCCAATGCGCTGTCCACAGTGGGTGGAAATGCCTTCCCCAAAGTATTCCCGGTACACACGTGACACCATGGATCAAGGAATGTTGAATGACTGCAGATCAGAAATGGAACGTCCCATCCACCGGGCACCCAATAGCATGCCCCATTCAAACTCCGATAATTCACGTCAGCTTGCTCTGAGCATTCCCAAGCCGTCAAGGGACGGTGGCGCCACTTAAAAATAATTTTACATACTGCTATCCCATGACTTTTGGCACTTGAGTGTATTACCCACTCAGCTATGTCTTTGTCTTCCTAGTGGTCTCTTTCCCTCCTGCTTTCCCACCGATATCCTACGTGCATTCGTCTCCTCATTCATTTGAAATCCAAGAAGTATAATACAATTCCTATGTCTCTCTTGGAAACAAAGAAAAATAACATACTTTCTGATAAATAAGATGTAATATTTCAAGTAAAGGTAAAGGTAAAGCTATCCCTGTAACAAGCTGTGAAGGCCCATAGGTTTGTGAGACACTGAGGCTCCCACAGCTTCTAGACAATCAGCTCACAGATGGCAGTAAGGTTGTCAGCCTTATGTCCTGGCTGCCCTTTACCCCCAGGAAGATTCCTGGTACTCATTTCTGTTAGAGGCTGAGTCAAACCCAGGGCCATAGTGCAGCTGGAAGAATTAGTAAATTGAAAAAAAAAAAAAATCCAGTGACCTCAGTGGGAATCAAACACGTAACCTTCCGGCCTGTAGCACAGTGCTTCAACCAACTACACTACCATCCAATACATTTGGCAATTGGTATACTTTTGAATGGGGTAATATTTTATGACAGAAAATGGTTTTCAGCACAAAACATTTTCTCCCTTATAGCGTTTAAAACATAATCACCTTCAATATGTAATACTGGCAACAACATACACTGATCAGAAGGGCTAAATAAACTGTGCCACAAAAATAGCATGAAGAAATTAAGTTTTTATACAAGAAGATAGCGACAAAAGGATATTATTTCCATGAGGATTGTAGCAGATGCAGTTCCGTGGCCCAGTGCCAAACTCAAACACAGGCTCACATTTAATATTGAAGAGAGTAGCCTTTGAAGGCATGAAGCCATAAATAACACAGAACTCAGAGCTCTTTGGACTCCATCCCACACTGTAGATTGGGCCCTCTTTACCTGTATAAAAATATTTTGTAAAGATCAAACCTGGGAATCTGTATACCTGTACATACAATAATAAGAGCATATTATGTTCTCAGTAAATAGATAATAATGTTTGCCTCCACAAAGGGCACTACGGAACACCAACTCAGAAAAATAAATTCAGTCCTACTTACTGAGCAGCACCATGGCTGTTTCTCCTTTGGTACTGATGAAGTGTAATGCTTGCTTTCCATAGTAGGATGAGCCAGATTTGTCTACTTCTGTGCTAGTCATAAGAAGAACGCCTGTGCCTCGCTTATTCCAGAACATGTCCACTTTATCTGACTGAAAGTTGTGATTTGTACGAAGTCAGAGTTTTATAATACAATATAAAAACTATAATGTTCTCCCCCAGTGCCAGTATTAATCAAATCACAGTCTCTATTCAGTATATTAATATACTTTGTATCATCAAATTATTTAACATGGCCATGAAAATAATCAGTAATATGATATAATATTTAAGCATCCTGTTGTAATTAACAACCACAAATATTATAACCAATAAACATAAGAGAAAACAGGAACATTACATCATGGATATGAGTAATGATACAATGTACTAATTTCATCTACTGCCAAGTGATAAAAACTTGGATTTCAACCATCAACTTTAGTACGAAGGTTTTACCTGAAGATGGAGATAGAATCCAGTCTCCAAAACGTTATTTTAAAAAATAAACAGGATGGTGTTTTAGATAAAGAAAGGACAATGGATAATGTCCAAAAACATAATACCCGTACTAATGTACAGAGCGTTCAATGATCGGGGAAACCTGGCAGCAGCCAGGGTGGACACATTTCTCACAGATTGCTGCTGTAACTGCCGATAGCAGATCCGAGCAAAACACCAGTTTCCTGTGCTAAGTATCTTAATGATTTTCAAGGACTAATCTGTAGTCACACCTCAATATCCCAAAACTTTTCTTCAGTCAGCATAATCCTCTCCGATTGCTTCTTCATGTCACACACTGAACCTGTGACCTGCCACTTTTCACAAGCTTTGATACACACAATTTTGTGGGAATTGGTGAGTCAGGATATTAGTGACAAAACTTACGCATATATTTTCTGTAAGTTTTTTCCTTGCAAGTTTTGACAATAAACACATGCTGTTCAATAGTGAACTTCATTTCAGTATAAATGTTGACCGTCTATCAATACCTCTAACACAGACTGACTAGTAATGTGATTTACTGCAGTGACAAGATCAAACCACGTGACGGCACGCATATGACAGTGCTAATGACTCATTGTGCTATTGCCAGTTACAGCAGCAATATGTGAGAAATGTTGTGTCTGCTCTGTGCTGCTGCCATATTTCCATCAACCACTGAACCCAATGCACCATTGTCACAAACTTTCAGATCTTAATTACCAACTTTAATTTTTAACTGATGTTTCACCCAACAAGAGATAACAGAATACAAATATTAACAGTGTTCCAGCTCAATGGCAATATCAAAGAATGTACCTGATAACAGTCACAGTATTGACTAAAACATCATAATAACATCACTAATAAGTGAATGTAAGGTGGCAGTAAAAAAACTATCTCAACATCAAGATAGCTGCAAGAAAAAGTGAAAAAAAAATCGATACTTAAATTTTAAACACTATGCTATATATATATATATAACACACAAAATATATAAGAAGTGATTTAACAAATATCTGTTGCAATAATCATATGATAAACTGTGTAATTACAGTTCCCTTTCAAAAGATAGATTAACACTGAACAGAAAAAGATTAAACTTTCAGAACATATTAAAGTTAAAATCATGTTAAAAGGTCTTCCTGAAAAACTACATAACAAAAATAGACTGTTACGTAGTCAGATACTCAGAGATGGCTCTTTGCCTCTCTGAAAGTTAATATCGTGCCAAATATTCAGCTTTGAGAGAAAGTTCTCTGTGATCCATTAGTGAACATGCATGAGCCACCACTACATACAAGACATTAATATTTGATGATTATTTCTCACAACTGGATTACAAATTAACAACTGTAACTCATAAACATTTTAACATTCATATAAACATGCATCCACAATCACCAATCTTTTTTCTTTATAGTCTTTATAGTCTTACAATAATTAAACAGATATAATTTATTTACCTGGAAGAAGCTCTTATTTGCCAATGAGTTTGTACTCTCAAACTTTGGATATTGGAACAGTCTACCAAATGATGGCTGTCCTGGTTTACCTGTATAAAGGAACAAATCATCATAATCAATGAAACCTGTATGTGGGTTGAACTATGAACATAGGTAGCAATAACATTATCAGAGTTCGGTAACTGACATTAATGTCATCAGAGTTAGGTTCCAGCAGAATCACATATGCTGCTGACACAGTGAATGAATTTATTTGTGGACTATTTAATGATGCATTCAGTAGCTAGACTATGTGGCACTGAATGGATGGAGGATAGATGAATGATAATTTGGAAAGGATCTGGAAGGATGGGTTCATGGCCTAACTGAGGAACTATTCTGGCATTTGGCTGGAGAGACGAGAAAAACCAAGAAGAATCTCAATCAGAATAGCTGGTGCCCCAGTCACGATCCAAACCAAGCATCCCACCCGAATACAAGTCAAGAGCATTACTGCTATAGTAAATGTCTGTTCACTGTCCATCAACAAGGCTGAAGACTTCACAGACATTTTTTACATTTCCCTACATCCTTTAAGCCAATCATCAGATGCTAACAAATAGGTTCCTTTATAAATAAACACAGGGAAAACCACATACATGTTTGTCTCATCATGAAATGGAGAAAAGAAGCACAACATGAAACCAAAAAATCCTTAAAACGTGGCAAAGTTCAAATATATGACATTAACCTTTATTGTCGAGAATTAAATTTCCCCCTAGTATCAAGCCAGCTGCAGGATTTAAATTTTGCAATGAAGGGATTTATACTGCCACATGATGGAGTGTGACCACAGATGGGGTTTGGATTGGTAATCGGATTTACTGAATACTTACAGAACGTTAACTACAAATAACTACGACAGTCTCACTGAGTTACACACTCCAAAGATCATTGTAACTACAGCACACATAGAGTCTTCTCAGTCTTCACTCGCCTTTGCTTGACAGCAGCTATCAATGGTGGATGTTCTCCTTCCTCTGAGTTCCCAAACTGTCCCCAGAATCAGCTACCTGCTTCTCACTTCTCACAGCTACAACTCTTGACTCAACCATCAACTCAAAATTTAATGTCAAAGTTATTTCATGACTGACGGTTTACCGCCAATCAGTTTGTCTTGACACCAAGGTCTATGATTGGAGTTTCTTTTTTTCCAGCTGAACCATTGCAGCCATAGTCCTTGCATAACATAAGGTCTATAAATGAACTATTAGTCCTTGCTTTATAACCCTGGCATGGACTGCACATAAAATATCTCTTCAATTATTGTGTGTTCTCTTGTTGCTGGGGAAACATTGCATCCGCAGAGCTGTTCTCTATCAATGGCTGTTGTACTGTTGCCTGCTTACACAGCTGTTATTTGGCAATGGATGTACATGCCACAATATTATAGACAATGCAACACTAGCCTTATTGAACCAATGCATGTGCCAGCACAGTTGTGTGACAACTGGACATTGGAGGTTAAGAAATGAAATGAAGTGAAACAGATATTCAAGGTTTCTTTCAACATCAATTAATTTGAATACTAAACAGGAATCTCTTAAATGGAGGTAATTTAGCACTGAGTTTATTAACATGGGATCAATGAAACTGATTGCTAAATGAATGAAAGCCTTAAATCAAGGAATATTAAATGGGGGTTTCAATATACATTCCTGAGGAAGTTAAGGAAAGTCTGAGGATCACTTGCTATCTTTCAGTTCTTAATTCTCTATACTGTATCTAAAAACATTAAAATTAAACTATAAAAATTAGAATTTTATCTCTTCTTTTGTATTAGTGTGAAACTGGTCTCTGATCTTAGATCATAGTGTTTGAGAAAAATTGTTATGGAAAATACTGCCATGATCGTGTCAAGTGAAATAATTGAGCCCGAAGAGATCGCCGTTGCTAAAGAATGGCTCAGTAAACACTTTTCTATAGGAATGAATACACATGCAACAACAGAAGAATCAGGGGAAGCGGTGTTTTCTATGTGGTCAGACCGAAGGCTATAAGACAAGGCTCAGCCCAGTCACCAGTCCGTGATGCTACATGTGCAGTACGTACATTTGAAAAGGTGAAGCCTATTCATAAGAGACAAACTCATTCTCTCAACATAGAGGGTGTTACATAAAGACTATGACCACAAGAATTCAGTTGCAAAAAAGAAATCTCTGGTCGTAAGCCCCAAGAGGCTTGGGGCCAAGACAAACTGACTGGCAGTAAACTGCTGGTTGTAAAGTAACTCTGACTCTGACCAGTCCATGAGTTGTGAGTGGCTTTCAAAACTCCTTACATGTATGACTACATAACTAAATTATGTAGAACACAGGCAGATGTAACCCTAAACCATGCAAATCCAAATGTATGTCATATGGGACAAGGGGAAACCATGCATAGGAAGCGTAAGTGGCTTGAACTTGGCAGTGGCCAGGCCTACTACCTTTCAGCTGACTAATCACAGTTTCAGAGTAGCTAAATGAGTTAAGGTACAACATGCTGCACAAGCCTGCATTGACAGAAAACCTCTGTATATCTTATATAAATGTTACTTAGTGCAGTGCAGAGACAAATGGTGCACAGAGCCCATTACTAACTGAATCATAGACTTTCTTGAAGTCCATGAATAGCTGATGTACTGTCTCATTTTACTCCCATTTTTCTCCAGTATCTGATAAAAGCAAAAGATCTAATCAGTAGTTGATCTGTTACATCAAAACCCACACTGATGATCCCCAATTATTTCATCTATATGTATGGACTTAACCTTGAGAGAGTGCCAACTTTTGCGGATAGAGGGTGTCGCGTGGTCAGCGCAACAAATCCCCATGGCCATTAATTTCGGTTTTCTAGACCGGAGCCACTATTTCCTTGAAATGGCTCCTCAGTTATCATCACGAGGCTGAGTGGACCCCATTCCAGACCCACTACTTCTCCGAAAAAATCTGGTAGCGCCAGGAAACGAACCTGGACCTCTGGATCTGTAGCCAGGAACACAGACCACTACACCACGGAGGCGTTTGTACTAAACTTTGCCGACAAGCGGCGGTCGCTCAGTTGGTATGGTTCACTTGTGGACTGAAATCACGAGTTTTTTTAACTTTGAGAGATGAATATTGAAAAAATGTTGTATGAAGTTGACAGCAGTGATATCCCCTGACAATTAATACAGTCAGTTTTACCACCCTTCTTGCAAACTGGTACAATAATAGACTCCTTCCATTGATCAGGCAATTCTTCCTTATTCCAAATAAAATTAATTACCTTATGGGTCTTAGAACATAATATTTCACCTACTTCTTGCATCAGTTATGCTGGAATCTGATCACTACCTGGCGATTTATACCTTTTCAACTTCGCAATAGCAATTTCAACCTCAAAACGGCTAGGATCAGGCAGTAACAGCTCAGCTGTATATATTTCTATCTGCCTAACATCACTGGCCCTATGTACATTCAGTAACTGGGAAGAGTAGTTCTTCCACCTATTGAAAATGTTGTGGGGATCTGCAAGGAGATTACCATTCTCATCCTTCATTAAGTTACTTCTAGGTTGGTAACCCCTATCACAGTAATTTATTCCTCTATACAGGTCTTTAATGTTCTTGTGCTTACTGTTCTTTGCAAGCTCATAATTTTGTCTTTCAGATATTCCCTCTTTCTATTTCTGAAATGCCTGCTGGTTTCACATCTTATATTGTTCAGATTATCCCCATTTATTTTGCTTGGATCCTGTAACCACTGCAGTTTGGCTTGTTTCCTTTGGTCTAATAATTCTGAATATCCTTCATCAAACTATGGCTTATGCTTCTTCAATTCATAATCCATATTCCGTATTGAGGGGGTGGGTTTCCCCATGCACTTAGACCGGTTACTGGTCCATTGTGCGTCCCCCTTTAATTTCTACTGTCTCCATACCCTACTGGTACTGGTGCTTACTATCAACCTCTTAATGGCAGTGGTATCTAATAGTTAGTCCCTTTCTGTCAGCGAGGTCGTCCCTCCTCTGGCAGGGGTTCCTAGTCCCTTTCTGCCAGCAAGGTTTCTACCCTCTACATGGCAGTGGTATCTAATACTTTAGTCCCTTTCTGTCAGAGAGGTTCTCCTCCTCTGGCAGTGGTACCTGATACTTCCCCCATCTACCGGAGGAATTGGAAACTACTTGGGCGGGAAACTTGGCCTAATTTTGCTCAGAGGCCTCCTAGAGACATGAGGTTCTTTTACGTGCCGTAATCTACGACACGGGACCCACGGCTTAAAGTCCCTCCCGGAGGACTTGTGCCCTGAATTTTTCTGCCCTTAAAAATTCCATGACCTCCGCCGGGTTTTTGAACCCGCGTACCTTGAGTCATGAGGTGGGAACATTACCTCTAGACTACGGAGGCCGCTTTCAATTCATAATAATCTAGACTCTCTTTGGCAGAAACGTTTATATTCTCTCTAATTGTTTCCCAAGCTCTATTAATATCGACCTCAATGTCAAAGTTTTCCAAAGCTGTGAACCTACTTGAGATTTCAAAATGATACTACTCTTTACCCTCTACCTCATTTAATTTACTGTGACTGAACCCGTCCATACGAAGTCTGTGCGTCATTTGTTTACTCACTGCTAGTCTCTCCCTAAACTTTGTTACCACCAGATAGTGGTCAGTATCACAATCTACTTGAATGTTGTCTCCCATCTAACAAAATAACATCAATTTGGTTGTGTGTCTTTCCATCAGAAGATGTCCAAATAAATTTATGAATGTTAACAATGTGGAAACATCGTACGTGTGACAATAAGGGGCTAAAGTATTAGGTACCACTGCCAGAGGAGGGGCTAACTCGCTGACAGAAAGGGACTAACTATTAGATACCACTGCCAAGTAGAGGGTAGAAACCTCGCTAGCAGAAAGGGACTGATAGTGAGCACCAGTGTCGGTAGGGGATGGAGATGGTAGAAATTAAAAGGGGGATGTACAATAGACTATCAGTCGTGGTGCATGGGGAAACCCACCCCCTCAATACTGAATCACTGAAGTTCTGAATCACCATTTTTCTTCTCTACTATGTGAAACATTTGCACTCATTTTCCACAATTTTCCACAATTACAAAAGTCATTAAGTATAAACAGTTCTAGCATTAAGTGTACTAGGCTGGTAAGAAGCCAAACATTACAAAACTGGGAAAAGGGTCACAAAAATTATAAAACTTCAAATAAATCAAGTTTCACCATATCCATATACAACATGAAGTCCAATCAATGTTCCTACAGCACATGTCATAACTTCAGGGATAATGTGTTCATTTATATTTCCTAGGTAAGAAAATGTTCTGAAACCTAAAAAATCATAGGCCTTGAACCACAACTGTCTGTAATGCCATTCAAGAAAAGTAAGAAAATGATACTCACAAGCCATATGGCTATGTGAACACAATATACAAACCAAAACCTTCTTTAGATTCTTCAATGTAATGATTTTCACCTGGTACATAACACAGGATATGGTATGGAGATGTTCCTGGGGCGATACTGAAGTCGGCAACTTTCTGGATGTGAATCTTCTGTGCCACAGTATCAAAATTTGGTACATTATAAAATAATACTTCATTATTTGCATTTTGTGCACAAAGCTTCTCATCTGAACTCCACTGTGGCTCCCTGTGGAATAAGTAATAAAGGTTATTGTAGCACTGAAGGAGTGGGAGAGGCAGATATGATTTTACCAACAACTACAAAACCCAAATACTTAAAAATATTTCTTCTGAGCTAAATATGCACTAGTAACATGCCTCCCCTTGAAAACAATTGAGTCACAAGACCCTTATATAAGTCAGAGCTACAATTTAAAAACTAAGGCTATCAACTTTAATCTAACTTACACAAAGTCTTTCCCTGTTATATGCAAAAATAACATTATACCTCCATCTTTTACAATGCTGAATTCAGAGCAGAGTAAGGGTTTCCAAGTGGCCTCCGTAGTCTAGGGGTAACGTTCCCACCTCATGACTCAAGGTACGCGGGTTCAAACCCGGCGGAGGTCGTGGAATTTTTAAGGGTGGAAAAATTCAGGGAACAAGTCCTCCGGGAGGGACTTTAAGCCGTGGGTCCCGTGTCGTAGATTTACGGCACGTAAAAGATCCTCATGTCTCTAGGAGACCTCTGAGCAAAATTAGGCAAAATGTTTCCTGCCCAAGTAGTTTCCAATGCCTCCGGTAGATGGAAAAGTTATCGAGTACCAATGCCAGTATAGGGCCGACTTTGCTGGCAGAAAGGGGACAATTATAGGGTACCACTGCCAGTAGAGGGCCGACCTCACTGACAGAAAGGGGACATAGCGGGCACCAGTACTGGTAGGGTATGGAGACAGTAGAAATTGAAGGGGAACGTACAATAGACTATTAGTCATGGTGCATGGGGAAATTCTATACTGAATAACTGAAGGGTTTCCACCTCATCATTTAATTACTAGGTAAAAATAGGTAAAGTTGACCTTGTGTTCAATTAGTTAAGCATTATGCCAGGAAGACATAATGGGGAGTGCAGGTATAGCTCCACATTCTTTGACCTCGGCACTAGATGGAGGTGAGTGGTCAGCTTTGAGTCCCTACTGCTTTACCCCTGGAGAAAGAGCCACCAGTACCCACTGGATAAGGAGGTTGGGTGAGCTCCAGAGTGGGTCTGGATTCTGGAAAAACTTGCACTATCAGAAACTGAGCATGGGTTGTCCAGCCCATAGCCCGTTGCTACACAAACTGTGCTATCTTGGCTCCCTTAATTACTCAGTAAGGATTTATTTATGATATTCATAGATTTGATCTTTCCATAGCAGGACCATAATTCCTTCCTCAGCACTGATGCTTACTCAAATGTTCTCACACACACCCCTAATCAACTTAAGTTTAAACCACTCAAAATGTAGTTTCTGTCCCCTTACACACATACACAAACACGCAGTGGGTGGACAAAATATGAAAACACTAAGAAACTGAGGAACAGAATTTGGGTTGGCTACAATGAAAGAACTCCAGTTGACAACGCTAAATGTTCTGTTTGTTTACACTCTGCAGTGCACGTGTCAGTGCATTAGTGATTGTGCTGAGTGACAGTCTGTGTGAAAGAACTTGAAAATGGGAGACTTCTCTGATTTTGAAAAAGGCCAGATTGTTGGCACGTATTTGGCGGGAGCATCTGTGACAAAATCTGCCACATTATTAGGTACACTGAAAACAACAGTTTCTAAGGTTATGTCAGCATACATGAATCATGTGGAGACATCAGTGAACAGGAACTCAACGAAAATCAACAATGACAGAAACAGACTGTCATACATTCAGAAGGACTGTTTCAAAAAATCACACATTCTTGAAGAGTGTTTCCACAAAACTCTCCAAACATGAGCTTCACAAATCCAATATCCATGATAGGGTTGCAACTGCTAAACCACTGACTACTGAAAGTAATGCTCAGATGCGTAAACAATGGTATTACGGCAATAAAATGTAGACATTAGACAACTGGAAATGTGCAAGTGATATGGTCAGATAAGTCATTCTTCACACTGTTCCATACATCAGGAAGAGTTCGCGTTTGGAGCATACCCAAGGAAGCCTACAATCCAGAATGCCTGGTTCCATCAGTGAAACACAGCGAGGTTCTGTGATGGTATTCTATTGGTCCCATTATTACCCTTCACAGCTGAATTACTGCAAAGGAGTACATGGACAGGTTGGGTAATTAGGTACATCCCATGATCCAGACATTATTTTTGAATGACACAGTTTTCCAAGATGACAATGCCCCTATTCTACACAGCTGGAACTGTTCAGTCATGGTTTGAAGGGCATGAAGGCAAACTTCTACATCTTCTCCAGCCAGCACAATCACTATATTGCAACATCACTCTGGCCAGTTTTGGAGACGACAGTGAGGAACTGATTCCCACCATCAACTTTTGTAGAGCAACTTGAAAATGTTCTTCGAGAAGAATGGTATAAAATTCCACTAGACACTGTTCAAAACTTGTATGAGTACATTCCAAGTAGGAATGTGGCTGTATTGAAGGGAAAAGGTGATCCAACACCATATCAATAAGGAACTGTGTACACTATCTGTAGTGTTTGTACCTATGACAATGTGCATGCGCAAATACACACCTAATAATCTTTATGAAACCATAAATTAAGCATTGTACTGACCACAAAGAATTTATTTATGTAGTCAAAAATTACTATTTTCTTGGATGTGATGGTACAGTTCAGTAGTTACCAAAATTTCAAAGGAATCTGATACTTCCAGTTTATACCCTGAAGAAAGGGGCACAAGGTTCCTCCAAAGCATTAGTAAACATCTATCTGGCTACATGGTGTCACATCCCAGAAGGCAGTAATCTTCTTTGTTACCACCACAAGAACTACGAACCTCACATTTACGTGGTTGCTCAATGTAACTAATGTATACTGGTTGAAAGGGAGAATGATTTTCCTACAAAATGTTGTGGCTGGCCATATAGGAATACACGTCCTATTACATCATTATATTATTAAAAATCTTTAAATTCACAAGAACAGGCCTCTTCTTACCATGTGCGTCTAAAATGTTTCTCTAGACTTCAATGAATGTCAAGTGTTAATGCATGATTCAATCATCCACTTCTAAGAGGTTTATGATTCCTCAGAGGACTGCAAAAATCTTGGCATAATTATAGTTTTCTCCATGCAGCCATTCTTACTTGTTGTCCCATGAAACCTCAAAATGAGACACAAACATATAATGATGCTTCAAGAACGCCTCCACTTATCTCATCAACCCTTTCATAAAATCCACACCACCTAAGTCTTATTATTTCAGAAGAGAGTTTTATTTGAGAATGTCAATACAACACTGGCAGCAATAACTATGTGTCTGACATGTTTCACTGGACATCACATAATGGCAGAGATTCATTTGTAATTGAACTGTCCACATCTATGGCGTAATTTTGTCAATAACAATCCCCTGAGGTGCAGAAGTCTTGGAATATTTAGTTATCTCAAAGCAAATATTCATACTTTGTTGTCCCATGAGACCTCAAAACAAGACACAAATATCTAATGACACTTCAAAAATGCCTCTGTTTAGCTCATCAACCCTTTCACAAGATTCACACACCCTAAACCAAACATTCATATTTCGTCATGACATTTTATTAAAAAAATGTCAATGCAATAATGATAGAATGATTATATGTGTCCAAAATACTTCTCTAGGCATCAAACAATGTTCCTATTACTTACGTTCCTATATTCCACTTTCCATGTGTAGTATCAAATAGCCCTTAAAAATACAATTTCGTGTGGAGAACATGAAGAACAGACTATCACACAACCCCACACTGCAGTGGACATTTGAATTGTGTCCTACTTTCATTGCTTGTTGCAAGACAAAAGATACAAAGTTAAAGGCAGATACGTACAGATACATACAAAAATAACCAAAGTAACTGTAAAGAACCACAAATAATGTTGAGTCGATAAAACTGATTATTCTGAAACTTTGTATACAGGTATACTTAACAATCTAGCTTTCATTCTGAGATTCTAGCTTAAAAGGAGTACCAAATACAAATTATTTTCTGATACTAAACATCCTATGGTATTTTAAATGACAATTTAACCCTTCAACATGCAATAATGGTTAATTAAATGTCTCATATGTTAAGGTTCTTACTACAATATCCATGTCTAAGTCAAGTGAAGTGCAGGCAACCTACAAAACCAAACTTGGGAAAATCCCCAAATTCAACTGCATGAGGTTGCACGTGTGCATTCCGTATTGTTGAACAACAGTATGCAGTTCATGCTGATTGTACTCTTTGCTCCAGCTCTCAAAATAACTTGTCAAAAGACTGTATTATGAGGAGTGACTATTCTAATGTGACTGACTGCTTTTGTCTTAAAATATTTTTTTGATAACACTAAATTTAATTTTGGCTTTCTCATAAAATAGCAGAACTAAATAATCAATATGATCAATTATCTCAGATAGTGGTCTCTATTATAAAACAAATTGATACAAAATGTGAAAACATAAATCTTGCTGCTTATGTCACATTAAATTTTACAAATGCACATGTACATACACATGGAACTTTTAATAAAATACAATACTACATAACATACAATATTCAACTATTTAATACCTGCAACATTTAAAATGTTTCCCATATGTTCAGTGACATATATCAACAGTTTAAATTTTGAATAAAAAATATATACATTGAGAAAACATGACAGGTAATTTAAAAGGTAAAGTTGTCCCTGTACTTAAATAAGCACGACACCATGACAGTGTAGAGGGGAGTGGATGTACAGATATATGTTTTCTTGACCTCGGCACTAGTTGCAGGTGACTGGACAGTTTCAGGCCCTGGCCACTTTACACCCTGAGGAAAGAGCCCCCAGTACCCACTGGATAGGAGGTTGGGTAGACCCCAGTGGCGGTCTGAATGACATGGAGAAGTGAAAATTCTTGTCCCCACCAGGACTTGAACTCCAACACCTCAGTCATTCAGGCAGTAGCTAGTCACTGCACCAACTGCGCTATCCCAAGTCATGAGAAAACATGACAGAGACATATAAAAGTAAGGAGTGAGAAGAGAACATGACTGTGAACCCCTGGGCACTACTATATGCTGAACATTTATCTTGCCTCAAATTTAGAACATACAGTCAACTCTCGATTATCCGGGATAATGGTGGGGATGGAAATCACGATTAATCGAAAACCCAGTTAAGACAAATTTTATTAAAAGTAGTACTGTAATACTGTACTTTCATAATACTATAGGCCTACCTGTATTTAAATTTATTCAACCTCATTTTTATGTCATCTCATGGCCTATTTAATACTTTTTTTACATTACACTGAAGTATGAATTAGTTATTTCAATCACAGTCTTCAACAACATCCAACACTTTTTACGAATATTCACACTTAACACTTAAAAAAATTTAATATTGTCGTTTACTTTTTCGCGGCATTTTCCTTTTTCTGTTGAATACTTAACACAACACGCTTCCTTTTACACCCTGACATTTTGCTAACGCACTTGAAGATCGATACAAAGAAACTAACTGGGGCGGTGTATCTGTCCTTGAAACTTTCCACAAATCCTTGCATTCTTTCGCCCCTACCCTAGAACATTGTGTTAGCATAACGGGACCAAAGAATGCAGAGCTCGGTTCACACTAGTGCGAAAATAGTGTTACAACTCACCATGTGAAACAAAAGTGAATGATTATTAAACAACATATAAGCCTCAAAAAAGCCTCAGTAGCCCTGGTTAAGCCGCAAACCAGTTAATCCGCCCCCGGATAATCGAGAGTTGACTGTATTAAAAAAAAAAAAAGAGAGAGAAGTAAAGGTATCCCTCTAACAGGCCGTAGAGGCCCATGGAGTTGTGAGATGTTGAGGTTCCCACATTTTCTAAAGATTGGCTCATAGATGGCGGCAAGGTTGTCAACCCTACATGCCAGCTGCCCTTTACCCCCAAGAACAGTCCAAGAATATTCCTGGTACTCAGTTCCGTTAGGGGCTGAGTTGACCCCAGGGCCATAGTTCAGCTGGAAGAATTAGGTAAACTGAAAAAATCCAAGGACCTCATCGGGACCTGAACCCGGGACCTTCCGGCTTCTAGCATAGTGCCTCAACCAACTATGCTACCACATGCCCCATTTAGAACACATTAACAAGCTGAAACTGGTGAAAAAAAAAAATTCTGCATATGGGAAGCACACTTTTACAAGCTTCAATTACAGAGAATTCTACTTCTTGCAAATAAATTTTAAAGACTTGCTGAAAAACATTAAAACGATATTATAAAGTTGAATACCTAGTCATAGAAAAAAAAAGATAAATACAGTACAGATACTTATAATGTTAGTACCTTCAAAACACTTCACTTACTCCCTTCTCTCTCTAGCATTACATAACAAACAAACAAGGATGAGAGCCAGGTTTACTAACAAACAAATCTGCTGACACTGGATCATATTCTGAACAAGATGATTACTGGATGGTGAATGTCACCTACAATAAAGGAATTCCGCAAAGTCTGAAAGTTCACTTACCATCCAATCTGCTTCTTATGAATAAAGTGTTTGACCAGCTCACCACTGTCTGACTTGAATATGTGAAGATTTGGCCCTCCTTGAGGATTGGATTGTGTTACTATGAACAGGAGAAAAAAATAAATACATAAATAAATAAATATACCAATTTTAACACTGCAAAAGGAAATATTACTTGAAAGCCCTTTAAACATTTGTCATGGAATTCCTACAGAATGTATATGCATACGAGGGGGGACCCAAAAATAACCGGAAACGACCTGTTGCGCGCGCATGCTTTGTAGTTACGAGTTGTGCTGCTAGGTGGTGTTAGCTAGGGGTCTCCCGCNGTTAAAATTTGCTGGACCGTGCTCCATGAGATGTTCATTTCCTCAGAAAGTTGGTCAATGGTCTTTCGACGATCTTCATCAAGCAAAATTTCACGCACACTCTTTGTTCCTTCTGGTCGGCCATCTCACTAATCGCCAAAGGGTTGAAACAGGAACGCACACAACAGAGCACCACAGACAAACCACTTAACTCAGATTGACGCCAGCTCACTAACAGTCGCGGGAGACACCCAGCTAACACCACCTAGCAGCACAACTCGTAACTACAAAGCATGCGTGCGCAACAGGTCAGTTCCGGTTATTTTTGGGTCCCCCTTCGTATAAGAAATCTAACCAAATCTATGGAACAGGAGTCCTACTTAAGAAGCTCACAGTAATTCTGCTGACCAAGATATCCCCAACTTTTTATGGAACCAGAAGGTTCATTACCTTGTTCACACAAGCCTGCCACTGGTCCCTATCCTGAGCCAGATGAATCCAGTCTCTCTTTCACACATCTTTCTTTAAGGTCAATTTTAATATTATCTTCCTGCCCATACGTAGGTCTGTTCTGGAACTCTGACCGAAGTTCTGTATTTCCCATCTCTTCATTCCTATTTTTTTTTATTGCTAGTGGGGTGTGACTAAGTCCCTTGTACTGCAGCCACTCCTGGCCCAAGGTACGAGCCCCAGATGATAGGTGAGGGTGATTGTGGAGCAATTGGTGGAATGAAGATTGGCAGGGAAACCCAAAGTACTCAGAGAAAACCTGCCCCAATGCCACTTTGTCCACCACAAATCCCACTTGACCAGGCCCGGGATCGAACCCGGGCTGTTGCGATGGGAAGCCAGTGACTAACCACTTGAGCCATCCTTATTCCTGTTACTTCCTCTCCCATTCGTTCAATTATTTTCTACAGCACTTCATTTTCAAGCTCCTGCACTCTATATTCTTCCAATATAAAACAACAAATAAAATTACAGTATTATAAGTTCTAAAGTTTAAATTTTTTAACAGGAGTCAGAAAGATGACAGATTAAGAACTGAAGTACTCCCAGTGAGCTAAACACTCATGAACCTTCAAGAATCCCATATGTAGCACCAAATAATAAATGTGTCAATGGTTAAATATGTGCCAAATTCTATAATGCTAATATTAAATTGCAGAATCCTGTTGCATTGTGTAGAGCTGACTTTCCATTCCACTTTTTGCCATCTACGTGCTACTTCAGTTAATATTCTCCTGTCATCTTGTCTTCATTGTCACTACACTTTTTTGGTCTATCCAGCCATCATCAGGTGTACAGGTTGTTGTGATGAAGGACTCTGCTGTTCACTGTAATGTTGTTCTGCTTTTCTTATGTAACTGCCTCAGTCTAATTCTAGGTTATGTGGGTTAACGAGCTGTTCCCATTCATGTGTTTGTCTTATCTGTAATATGTGATGGTGCATGGAAACAGCTTGTTAACCCACAGAACCTAGAATTTGTCCAAGACAATTACATATGAAAATCAGAATACCATTACAGTCAGCAGCAGAGTCCTTCATGACAACCTCTACAACTGACGATAGCCGGTTTGATCGAAACATGTAGCGCCAATAAACAGAAGACGACAAGAGAATACTGACCAACAATGCACACAGATGGCAAAAAGTGAAATGTGAAGTCAGCTCTTTAATACTAATCAAACTTCTTCACTTCCCAATGGAGACAATGACTTCTTCTACTCACCTATGAAAGGTTCCCATGTCATTAAATATGTCCCTTTTGGAGAAAATTCTAAAGCAGAGACCTTCGGTCGCTGAATTTCTGCTAATACTTTCCATGTTGAAGTTGCAACAACCTTAACGCTGAAATTAGAAACTCAGAATATAGCCATATTAAAATTACAAACTGATTACCAATACCGACCAACACTACAATAAACGATGAACTTACCATGATCCATTAACCCAGGCAAAATACTTCCCTTCTGGGTCAAAAAGCATTGCCTTGCACGCCTTGCTGTCATCCCTTGTAAAGGCAGAGACCAGATCATAGCTCGGAGGACCAAGATTAATGGAAATCCCTGTCGACCCTCGCACTGAAATTATGTTACATTCTTAACTTCACACCGTCAATATTTCAAAAACTCACTTATTCTCCTACTGTTAGGTTACTGCTTGTCACGTATGGTGCACACAAGGAGATAATAAAATTCACCTTCATACTTAATTAAAGATATGCCTCATAAAATTGTCACAATTTGTAATACATAAGCCTAGTGTTTTATACAGGCCAGTAAACTCTGAGGAACATGTCACATAAAACATTAAATTTCTGAAACTATTGCAATTACCTGCCACCACTGGAACACTTGACGCCATCTTTGTCTTCGGGCCATGTGGCAGAGAGCGCGATCTCGTACAGTTGTCTTGCATTTCCTTCTTGCGAACCACAAACAACCAGTAGAAGCAGTGGAATGTACCCACCCTCGCAAAAACTTATGTCATTTGTTTCCCAAGACCTGTCTGCACTTCTATCAACTCTTTGGCGGTAGTTGGAAGTGGTTGGGTAGGTCAGGTACGTCAGGTACGTCTGGTAGGACAGAAAAATGTGATGGGTTGAATAGGTAGTATACATTACGTAAGGAAAACACAAAAAGAATGAGTAGGGGTGGATAGTTGAGACCTTTCCTTCATCGACCCGAAAACTATGATCTGCTGTGCTCTCGTAAAATAAAATAATCAGAATTCAGTCTTCTCATGAATGTCCCGACATTCATTTCATAGTAACATAGTAACTATCTCCTTCCAGGGTTGAAGAGTACACTATGCAGGAAACTACCGTGCATCATGCAACAAACAGACCCTGAAGATGGAAGAGGTAACTTCGTCCAAAACATACACTGGCATAACAACACAGCTTTCTATGCCAGGAGAGAATTGTCAACAGTCACCACTGTAGGAACATGAAATCCAGAAAATAAAAAATTTGCAGAAAAGCATATTTTATTGTAATAACTGTTTACATTTATTTATATAGATGATACACAGTTTTCAGCGCGCAGGCTGATTGGACATTGATTTTACCGTCGGCAATTTCCTGCGAAAGAGCTGCACGACTTGATGTGAAAACTGCCGCCGCAAGGCCAGAACTGCTTGCATGCATCATTTACTTCTTTCGTTAATTATTAATCAACTAAAGTAATTAATATTGTACTCACCATCATTGAAGATGTTCAGAATGTCTGCCCTCTGCTATGAAACATGTCTTAATTCTTTTAAACAGATTTCGGGAAACTTGTTGCAATTCATGGTGCTGAATATTATAAATTGCTTCACGAATATTCTGTTTCAGAGCCTCCAGTTCATGTGGATTGCTGGCATACACAACTCTTTTGAGTTTTCCCCACACAAAAGTCACAGGGTTTTAGATCTGGGCATCTAAGGGGCCACAAATCCTTGCCAATAATTCCATCCTCTCCATTTAGTTCCCCAAATACACCGCATAATGCTCAGATAGTTTCGTTAGATGTGCATGAGGTCACGCTGTCTTGCATAAAATAACGGAATCTTTCTTTTGCAGGTGCCAATTAACGAAAAATGAATTGAGTATTTCATTAATGTATCATTGAGCATCAAGAGTTCATTATAAAATATTGGTCCAGTGATATGGTTTGCGCCAATTGCATACCATATGTCTATCTTTTGGTTGCAAAAAGGAAGTTGAATTAAGGCATGAGGATTTTCACTACTCCCATACCTATTGTTCTGTGAGTTAACATATTCCAAGAGATTAAAATTAGCCTCATCTGTGATAAACCAATAAATCAACTACAAAACCACACTCTTTTTTTCATAATCCACAGGTCTAATTTCAGGAACAACAGCAATTTTATATGGACGAATATGCAACAGTTTAGTTGCTGTTCATGCACTGCCTACAGAAACACCTTTACTCCTGAGGAAAGGGTCCCCAGTACTCATTCAGTGGGGGGCTGGGTACACCCCAGAGCTGGTCTGGACACTGTGCACAATTTTCATTACCTTGCACCACAAGGAAGGAAATACAAGTTAGAAGAATTATAAATGATTATAATATGATAGAGTTTAAAACAAAATTAAGTAATGAAAAATGGGAACCAATTTATAATACTAATGATACTAACATTAGCTTTAATCGATTTTTAAATATACTCTTGAGGTATTTTTATGAATCATTTCCAATAACAAAAAGACAAAGACATAAACAGATTACCACTGGCATAAAAATATCTTGCAGAAACAAACGGGTATTGTATGCGGAAGCAAAAAAAGTAGCAACCCTACAATAGTCACCTATTATAAGAACTATTGTAAAATATTAACGAGAGTTATAAACCTAGCCAAACAGATGACATATGATAATCAAATAAAATATTCAAAAAAGAAAACTAGAGCTACATGGAAAATAATAAATAGTGAAGTACTAAAGAAAGGAAATAGAGAAAATATTCAAGCCTTAAACATCGAAGGCAAAAAGAATACTAATCCCAAAACTATTGCAGAAACGTCACAGTACTTTAGTGATATAGCGGTCAACATACATAAACACATAAAGGAAAATAATACAAATGATAAATTTAAAGCTACAAATTATATGACATATTTGTCTGAAATCTAGTAACACCCATGGGTATGACGAAATCTCGAGTAACATACTCAAAGCCTGTAAAAGCTTAACTAGTGAACCTTTAAGTTATTGTGTAACAAAGTAATACATGAAGGCATCTTTACAGATAGATTAAAATATGCTACAACAGTGCGCGTTTATAAAAAAGGTGACAAAAATATAAAATCGAATTATAGACCTATCTCCATTTTAACATCAATTAGTAAAATATTTGAGAAGGTAATGCATAATAGGTTACTAAAACATTTAAATGATGATAACATTGTAAGTAAACATCAGTTTGGATTCAAGGAAAACCAAGGAACTGAAAATGCAATCTTTAGTCTTATTGCCAGAATATTAGATTCATTAAACAAAAATATGCAAGTCTGTGGAATCTTTTGTGACCTACAAAAGACATTTGACTGTGTCAGCCATGAAGTATTATTGAACAAGTTAAAGTTTTATGGAATAAAAGGAAACCAATATGACCTATATAAGTCTTATCTATCGAACAGAAAACAAAGAACTACTATATTTAATGGGACAAATAGTAGTAAAGTAAATTCTCGATGGGCTGAAGTAACCAATGGTGTCCCACAAGGATCGATACTGGGACCACTATTGTTTGTAATATATATAAATGACCTGCCCAAGATTTTGGAGACAAAATGTACTCCCATTATATTTGCAGATGATGCAAGTTTTTTGACTGCACAAACAAATCCAATAAAATTTAACTATCTAATAAATTAGGTATATAGTGTAATGGATGATTAGTTTAATAAAAACTTAATGTCACTTAATACAACAAAAACATATTACATAAATTTCACTACAAAAAATAACGTGACAAGAGATATGGGAGACATAGGAGCTATTTTAACGAGCATGAATCACATAAAATTTCTTGGCTTAAATGTCCAAAATGAGATAACCTGGGATAGGCACATAGATGAGGTCATAAGAAATTAAATACAGCTTGCTACATGATAAGAAACTTGAAACCAATGGTATCTACTAAAACTCTTAAAAAGTGTTTATTACTCATATTTTCACTCTATCATGACATACGGATTAATGTTTTGGGGTAATTCGTCACATGCCGAAAGAATATTTAAGATACAAAAGAGAGCTATCAGAGTAACAAAAGGAAGTAGTTATAGAGAATCATGCAGAGAACACTTTAGAGACATGAATATACTTCCATTAAGATCACAGTATATATACTCCCTGTTAACATTTGTAGTAAAAAATAGAGAAATGTTTGATATAAACAGGGATTATTATGAAATAAACACCAAGCATAATCTTGGGGGGAAATATATGTGGAAAGGTGTGTAAATGAGACATATAAGCAATTTATAAAAAAATTCTTAGACTATTTTAATCAAGTATTTCCACTGAGACCAGTAATAAAGAGAAATGCTAAGAATAAGAAATGGATATCAAAAGGAATAAAAATATCTTGCTGGAAAATGAGGTTTTTAAACGATTTAAAATGGAGGACAGCTTTGCCAATCAAAATAGTAAGCTGTATCAGTAGTTATCAAGGGATATATAAGGGTTATTTTAGAAGCAAAAAAAAAAGAGACAAAATGATAAAGGTATAGAAGGGGCATCTAACCTAAATAAAATAATATGGCAGATAATGAATAAAAGAATGGGCAAAGTAGGAAAGGATGACCAGGAGATTCGGTTACAAGGATATAATAGGAAAATATCCCACCCCCAGGAGGTGGGTGACACACTGAACTCATGTTTTATAGACAAAGTTGAACTTGTGGAGAAAAACAAGAGTAAGACCAAAGAAATATCATTAAAAAAAGTTGTAACAGGAAACTCAAATTCAATGTATTTTTGGCCAGTCTCGGAAGAAGAAATTGTCATAGAAGCATCTAAATTAAAGGGCAAAGCCTCAGCGGGAGCTGATGGAATCCCAGTTTTTCTTATAAAAATATGCATCACAAGTATAATAAAACCACTCAATTGTATATTTAATGAATCAATAAATCAAGCAGGTTTCCCTGATTTATTGAAAATTTCAAAGATCAAAAAAGATTTCCTTTACAAAAAAGGAACCAAACATGAAGCGAGTAACTATAGACCTGTATCGGTGCTATCAGTATTCTCAAAAATCTTGAAAAAAATAGTATACAATAGACTGGTGTCCTTTACACCTAAATTTAAAATATTAACTGAAAAACAATATGGATTCCAAAAAGATAAATCAACAATATCAGCATGTCAGTCATTTATCAGGAAGATACAAGAAGCTTTGGATAAGAAATTATTACCAGTGGGTATTTTCTTTGGATTTAACAAAGGCTTGTGATGTTATTAACCATGATATTTTGCTAGAAAAATTAGAGCATTATGGGATAAAAGGGCAAATTAATGCCTGGCTAAAATCAAGGCACAATATGTGGAATTAATTTCTAAGGGCAACAGGGACTGTGTGACTCATTTTAATTCAAAAATAAGGAATGTAAAGGTAGGGATTCCACAAGGGTCAACCTTGGGCCCCTTTTGTTTTTGATTTACATAAATGACCTGCCCCTCCATATAACTAATGGGGAAGTGGTGCTATTTGCAGATGATACCAGTATACTGGGAATAGAAAAGAACAAAAATATTCTTCAAGACAAAATAGATAAGGTAATGAAGCAACTCGAATCTTGGTTTTCAATGAATAATTGGTAATAAATAATGAGAAGACTACAGCAATGTATTTCCATATGAATAAACTACAAGATAGCTTTGAGCCAGTAATTAATACCAAGAAACC